TGATCATATTAGTACCTTATTTATATATATTCTTATTAGTCTAGTTATTAGTCTATATTCTTCTACGTCCAACTCACCTTTGTCACTATAGTTTTTTTTTTATTCCGTGAAAAGGCTTTAGTTGAGTAGTGCATAACGCTGTCGTAATCGTAGGACACTCCGAAATTCACGCTCTTTTTTACTTTATTAAAGTTGTGAATTTGTTCAGATATTATATTTTGGAAATAAATCGTTACATAGCGGTCTCGCTCCTCGCGTACTTGCTCATGAAAAAATCCAATAGCATGCATCATCTCATGCATCGCAGTTCCAATGCGGCGCAGACATCCAGGTGACTGTAGATTCATTACCTGCTTTCCACCACGACGACCGATAGAAGACCAACAGCCTGAGCGATTGCTCCCAATGGAAATATAGTCCTTCTGTCCTTTACGTGGCACAAATCTGATGCAAGTGTATCTGCGGTACTCGTTCATGGCAGCTTTGATTAAAGACAATTCCTTTTTACTGAAACCGCGCTCGATCACAAAGGGCACCACACCCTTTGGCCAACGACGGGTTCTGTTAGGTGAGCCATTTTTCGTATTGATGTAAGGTAGAGGATCTAGAATATCACCCTCAAGGTAGCTTCCCAGCTCCTCAGGATTAACATTGCTGTCAACACTTAAGTTGGCTACCCTATCACCTGTTAGCGGATCAGGCACCCCATAAATCTGACTACCATAGGCGCTCAAGTCTATTTCATCCGTTTCCGATTCCGTTGAATCTGCAAAGGACCATCCTTCCTGGGATTCCAATGGTAGTGCCCAGCTGAGTGTGGACATACAAGCGAAGGTGAAAATTAGTCTCTGCATTGCTCGCCGGTTACTAAAACTTTACTTAAGTTGCATTTAACTCTAGCGGCTTTTATAACTGAATTGAGGCTGGAATCGATCAGCTTTTACATGATTATAGCACTGCGGAACTAGAAAATATAACGCCTATTTAACTCTGATAATTTAGATTAAATATATATGATATAAGCACTCGTGATAGTTTTTTTTTTTTTTTTTTTTTTTTTTTTTTTGCAAGTGAGTATTACTATATATTACTAAATATAATAATGTATATAATGTATTCGGAAATATATGAGAAATAAAATAATTAAAAACAAGTAAGAAAGCTCTAGTGGACACTGTTCGACTAAGAGATCCCTTAAACCCTTCGAGCAACGGGAACATAATGAAACTTTTATATCATGATTATAACATTGAAATGCGTGCATTTGCTAAAGCACAAGTCTCTAGTATTTTACAAAGGTGATGGTGAGGGTGTGGATATAGGGGTCAGGGGTAAATTTTAGCAAAAATCGAAATTCTATAAAGTACATATGAGTCCACATTTGGCGACTCTAGATCTAAAGATGTAGCAGATATCGATTTATTAATGATTTTCGATAATGCTTTAAATTGATAACAAAATAACGGGACAAGTTATCGATTTTTAGGAAAAATTTTGAAGTCCCTAGATCGTATATCTTCTGAGATCGAGCGTTCAGGCATTCGACCAGACGAACGGACGGACAGGCAGACAGGGCTAAATTTACTCAGCTAGTCACCCTGATCAAGAATATATATACTTAATTCCACGCCTCCTTCTGCCTCTTACATACATTTAACAAAACCACAACACCCTGATATCCCATTTTCAATGGGTTCAGGGTATAAAAAAAAAAACAGTTTGCTTTACTTTTTTCTGAAATTGAATAAAGTTAACATGGAAAAAATTCATTGCAGCCCATTAAAAGTCTGATGTAGTATAAAATCTTTAAGAATATAATTTATTACGGCTAAAAATAATTAAATGCATAAGACCCCAAGAAAAAAAAAATTCTGCGAATCGAATCAATTTTAATATAGGAGTGAAATGTGTGGATTTATTATTTATTTATTTATCTATTATTTGTTTATTAAGAATGAAATTAACCCTCTTGGACGTAAGAGTGCCTCTAGGCACTTATTTTATTTTTATACCCAGAACCCATTGAAAATGGGAAATTCATAATGGTTTTGTTGAAATGTATGTAACAGGCAGAAGGAGGCGTGGCAGGCCCCACAAAGTATATATATTCTTGATCAGGGCGACGATCTGAGCCGATTTGATCCTGACTATCTGTCTGTCTGTCCGTATGTTTGAGCGCGTCGATTTCAGAAGAGATCAGAGCTAGACTTAAAAAAAATTGTTTTTTAAATGTCCGTATATACAGCGCGAATATCGAGTTTATCAGCAAAAATCGATAACTCACCCCGGTATTTTTTATCGACAAAAAACCTTATCGAAACTCAGTTATAAAATTATATCTTCCACATCTTTAAAGCTAGCATATTTACATCTTTATACAATTTCGGTTTTTGTCAAAATTTGCCCCCCACGTCTATATTCACCCCCTCACCCGCATATTTGTAAAAGACGAATTTCAAATACTAGAGACTTTTGCTTTGGTAAATGCATGCATATCCATGTTTTATAATCATAATCTGAAAGTTTCATGAAGAAAGTACATCCACAAAAAAAGTTATTAAACAATTAGTAAGCGCACACTGTGTTTAGGCGTGGGTGCTTGAGTACGTGTATGTGTGTGTGTGTTTTGTGTGAGTGTGCGTGTGTCTTGTGTAAGCAGAAAGACGGGAAAAATGATTGAAATCGCTATATATAAATATATATGTATATTAAATTTTTTATTTTATCGTATAATTCATCAATCATCAAGCAAATTATACCCAGAATAATTCATATTTTCTAAACCTTAGTTTCAATTCTTTTCATTTATAATCCCTCACTCCTATTCAGTTCGTCTGTCGGTCATGTCAACTTCCATCAATAGAAATATATCATATATCTCATACCCAATTAAAAACTGAGAAGAACAGCTTTCAGAGCACCAATTTATCTATTTACTGTTTTACTGTTATTTGGGCAGCTGAAAATGTTGATTAAGGCAGCAGAAATAATTGCAAACTATATTTTCTATGTAAATACAAGCACTTGTTAGCTGAGTTGATTTGAGTCGAGTAGAGTTGAGTTGAGTAGAGGCTATGCTAAATTATAAAAATGCTTAAAATAATACCAAAAAAAGGCGTTGGGTTGGCGCTGCGAATCGCTCAATCTATGGCCTAAGGAAGCAACAAATTGCTGACTTGATGCACAGCAGTTGCTGCTGCTGCTGCTGTTGTGGCCTCAACTACTGCCCAGCCATGTCCATCATAATCAACGTCCATCATCAGCTGCTGCCGCGTGCTCTGTTGACACACCCACCAAGCGGCTACTGCACACGGCAACTGCCAATTCGGTTGTTCTTGTTGCTCGCGCTGGCTACTTTTGGCATTGCCCGCCTCCAGCGCTGCTAGCCAGAGTCATTTTTCATCATCAGAGCCAGGCAGAGCCAGAGCCAGAGAGGAGCTGATCCAGAGCCATCTTCGAACTGTTGGCTACCAGTTTTTGTTTTCTTGTTGTTTTCCTCTCTTTTCTTGGCTGCCAAGGGACTACTAGGCAGTTGGCTCTTGCATAGGCGCCCATGTACGAGTATTCGCATATCTGATATTAGAATCTCAATTAGTTTTCCACTGTCTTTATGCGTATGCTCCTGCATGTGGGGGCATTGTAATTTGCTTTTGGGGCAGGTTTTCAGTTTTAACATCGCAGATGCTACAAATACTGAAAAAAAAAAAAACGTTTCTTGAAAGGCGTCACACTCAATGTAATAATCAAAACACGTTCAACTATTTACGGCATTACAATATTAAAAAACAAAATTAATGCAAGCTCCAACGACAAACGGCATTTGAATAAATTAGTGTAATAGACACATTAAACAACAGCAACAACAGCAACAAATAGTTGTATCTAGGAAATATCAAAAAACTGGTAGCTGCCCGAATAGTAAAAGCCCCATAGTTACAATTATAGCAAGAAATGTATATGTATACATACGTATGTACATATGTATGTGTATATGTGTGTATATATATCTGATTAATAAGAAAACAAATAAAAGGCTTGCTATCGGGCGCAACTGACTTCAGCATACTCGTTCAGCAGCAGCAAATAAAACAAATTTATTTAAAAAATTCAATATTTTTAAAGGTTAAAAATGTATTTTAGAATTTTTAAAAATTCCTTGAATTTTAAACATTAAAAAAATTTAAAATATAAATTTAAAATATTCAAAAATTTCTTGTATTCAAAATACCAAAAAAAAAAAAAAAAAAAAAAAATTTTTAAGCAATAACAAATTTATTTTATTGCTTTTTTTATGTATATAAATAAAATCCTTCCAATTTTTTTTTTTATTATTAATTAGTAATTAATTTTAATAAAAATTAAAATATATATTTCAAAATTAAAAAAAAATTATTTTACATTTATAAAATATTATTAAATTTAAATCAAATGCAATATATATTTTACAGTAAAAAACAAAAAAAATTTTTTTTCATAATCAGAAATTTTCTTGAGTTTGAATCTTCAAAGCAACATTGACACAAACCAATATACCCCTAGATGAACTCATTAGCGAGAATAAAAACCACAAAAACAACTATAACGAGGTGCTGCTGCTGCTGCTTAACAAGAATGCAACTAAAAACAACAGAAATAAATATATAAATGAAAAAAAAAAAAAAAAAAAACTTAAATATTTTTCAGCATATGAAATAATAAAAAATAATACAAAAAAAAAGTGCAACAGGTTTTTGTGTGTGGTTGTGTTTTCGTGCTAACCTTGAAATAAAACTTGTTTAATCATTTCTCAGGCGACTCGAAAATGCAACAACAACTACAACTACAACAACAACAACAGCAGCAGCAACAGCAACAAGAGTCGATATACATATAGCATTAAATGGCGCATTACAAATTTAATAATTTTGTAAGCGAATTGCATTGGAAAATTTTTGTTCTGTCAAACGCAATTATTAACATCTTTCCCTCTCCCATCCACTCTTCTTCCGTCTACTTGTCAGGTACAGTCGCATCGAAAAAAGTAATTTCCGCATTGAACCGTTATACTACAGATAGAGAGAGAGGAGGAAAATGGCCGATTGCTCATTTGCCAGATGCCAGCAGGAGCGGCGGCTCATCAAGCGCGAGCTAATGAAGTGGTCCAAGGATATGCTGCACATTGTGGGTGAGTGGCCCAAAATGATTTACTTAACACCTGACTACCCAGACCCCACCTGTCTTGCTACCTGTGCTGTGCCTGCTCGCACAATCCAATTAAAAGAGCCGCGCAACAAATTTCTTCTTCCCTTTTTTTCTATCTATCTATTATATGTATAAGTCTTTTACTTTTATTACTATTATTTTTTTTTTGTGTTTGTGGACAAACATTTCCAATGGGTGCTGCTGCGTCATCTTCCAGCAGCGCCTTAACCCACACGCACACACTCACCTACACACGCAGCACTTGCATTAGTATAAGTGCAGCATTTTTATTGCCTTGGCTATATACACTCGTTGCATGCCAACTAAATTTGAGTTGGTTGGAGTCGTCTCTCATATTAAGGCCGCAAATGGGATTTGCCGTTAAACGGTAAATGAAGTGTGCTCTAGCTAAAAAAAAAAGAAAGAAGAAATGATAAAAAAAAAAAAAGAAAACACCGGGCAGCAAAAGGAAAAGTTCGACATGGAAATTGACTTTAGTCCACCCTAATCAACATAAGTTGGGCCCTGGCTCAGGCGGGCCATATGTTTCAGCTCTGTGCACATAGCACGAAGGATATGCGAAAGTAAAATAAACAAAATGCAAAGCTCTACGACACACACACACACACGCACACACATATACGTATATATACTCTATATAGATATAGATACCAACAGCTTTCAGGCTAAAGCAAACACCAAGAAAAATTAACATAAATTGCATTTGTTGTTGTTGCAGTTGTTGTTGTTGTTGCTGCTGTTGTTGCTTATTGCATTTCTTGCTGGGCACAGCAGCCACAGTGCCCTTCTGTCTCTAGCTGCCGCCTTTCGCCAGCCTTCGCTTCGTCCTGGGCAACGCTCTCATTTCGGTTTTTGAGCACGTTTAGCACGTTGCCGGCGAATCGCCACAGCGTCCTGCTCCACCCCTTCACCTGCTTCACCTGCCCACAAACGTTAAATGCTCTTTGTTGTTTTTGTTGCTGTCCGGCTTTTTCTCTTTTTTCTCTTTTTTATATAAATTTTCCTCATTTTTTTCTCTTCACATTTTTTTGTCTTGCTGCGCCACCCACCAACCACCCCAGAGCAATGACGACGCCAACTTTGGGGCTCGTCCTTGCCCGCGTCCGTGTCTCGTGCACTCAATTACTTCCTCAATGCGCTCCATAATGCTTATCGTCCTTGTTTCTAGTTGACATTCCCGCACAGCCAGCAGCACTTCCAGACTCCCTTCGCTCAAACCCTTGGCACATTTTTCCAGCGACAATTTTCGTCGAGGACGTACGGCCAGGGGTGGGGGTGGGGGTGGTGCTGGTGCTGGTGCTGGTGTTGGCGCTTGGTTAGTTTAATGTAGTGGGGAGGGCGGGAGGCGGAGGCGGTTGCTCGGTGCGAGGTTTCGGCGTCGTTGTCGCACGAAGCTGCAAAAAAATTGTTGTCTGGCTTTCAGCTGGTGCAGCTTTTGGGGTTGGGTTAGTTTTTAGCTGCATCCTGTTGTCTGTGTGTGTGTGTCTGTGCGCCCAAAACGAAGTGCTATACGAGATAACGAAGCACACTTAAGCGCACGCACACAGCGATAGGATGACGCCGACGACGACGACGACGACGACATATCCCTACGAAATATATTGCACAATATAAAAATGCAGACGACGGTTGCCGAATGCGACGAAACTGCTTTTGCTGTTGCTCCTTCCTCCCGGCTCGCAGCTCCCCACGCTGCCTGCTCCTTGGCTCTGGCCCCGCCTGTTGCTCAGCCATAAGCCGAAAAGGCACCTACACCCGAATGCTGGCGCCGAAAGACGAGCCAACGAGCAGCAAGCAGCGCCAACGCCATCATCAACTCGTCCTCGTCCTCGCCCTCGGCCTCGTCCTCGTTGCTGTTGCTGCTGCTTTTTGTGGCCGATTTTCGACGCCGTCGACGCTTCTGCCGCTGTTGCCGTCGCCGTCGCCGTCGCCGTCACCTATACCTAGACTCCCGCTCGCTTACTCGCTCTCTCTCTCTCTTTCTCTCTTTTAGTCACTGCCGAAATGGGAGTCGAGTTTCCAACGAGCTACCAATTTTTTCTTATTTTTTTTCTTTGCCCTCCCACCCAGGCACGTTCGTGTTTTTGGTAGATCGAAGAAGATGCCAACAGCAGGCGGGAGGGCAGGCAGCAGCGGGCTGACCCACTCGCTGGTTTGGGGCGAGCTGGCTCTCGCCTGTTGCATCTGTGGGTTAAGCCACCCGGTTGACTGTGCACTGCCACGCTGGCAATGGCTCAATCAGTGGTGGCGTCGCATTTGATTGTAATGGGATATACCACTTGTAGATTCAGCTGGCGAAATCCAACGAATTTCAGCGCTCGGCCAAAAGGGAAGTTCTCTCCGATTGGATGCGCGAGTGTGAGGGATAATAAAAATGTAAATTCTAATAGAACTGAAGGGATTCGAGTAACGAAAGAACACACTATAAAAATAAAAAGCAATAATTTACTAGGTATTGAAGTAAAGAGGTAAAGCAAAGAGATAATACCAAATCTTTAGGAAAGAAGAAGAAAGGAAGAAAATAGAATAAATAAAAATAACCAATAAATTAACAATCAAAGCAAACAGCAATCAACCCGAAATTAAAATAATAATAATAATAATAATAATGATGATAATAATTTTTAATTATAATTTTTAATAAATAAACAAAATATTTAACTTTTACATAGAAAACAATTATTTAAAACAATACATCAAACTAATAGGTTTAAAAATATTCCAAAATTAAAAAAGTTATATAAAATATAATAAAAAAATTTGTTTTCCTTTTATGTAAATATACTAAAATGTATATTTACAGCTTATGCAAAATTTGTTTCAGAATAATTAAATCATTTACTTATTTAAAAATCCTTTTTCGTATAACTTGGCAATTAAATTAGATCGAGCACATTATAAAAACTATTACTTCTGCTAAAAAAAAAAAAAGGAAAAAATAAATAAAAAATAAATAAAGTGAGAAAATTAAAAAAAAATCTCAGAAGCAACTTTAGCGTTGGTGGAAAAGAGAGCAAAAATTGTGAAAAAAAATTGCGAGGCAAGGAGCAGAGCAAAAGTGTCTGAGCATTGTTGTGTATGTGTGTGTTGGTGGGCTTGTGTGCGTGTGTGTGTAAGGAAAAACGAATCAGCAGGTGCTGGGCTACATTGTGGGCCACCCTCGCACCATTTGGGCACACTTTATATATATATATGTATATATATATACTTGTAGTTAGTTCTATTCGTATATATTGGGCGAACGCATCTTTCGATTACAGCAACAACTGCAGCCAGGGTGGTGTGGGTGGCTGTGGGTGGTTTTGGTTCGTTGAATGGGCAAAGTGTGTGCGACGCCACCATTTCATACTCGGCTCATGCCGGGCTGTCCTTGTTGTCGCTGTTGTTGTTGTAAGAAGGCATTTTTATGCGCTGCGCCTCTGCAAGCTCGAGGATGCAACAAGCGACGAGAACTTCGTCGTCGTCGTCGTCGCCGTCGTCACCGTCGCCGTCGCCGTCGTCAGCCAACAGCTGTGCGCGTGGGCGGGTGTCCTAGACCACAGGGCAGAGCTCCCATCTATTCGATGGTCCACACCAAATCCTATACAGGATTTTATGCACTACGCAATGGGTGTCTCAGCCCACTTTCCAGCCAGTCGCAGTTTTCCTTTTTCTTTTCTTCTTCTTCGTCCTTTTTTTTCCTCTTGTTTTTCCAGCTGCCTTCTTGCACGCTGCACGCTCCTTCTCCTTGCTGCTGTTGTTGTTGCTCGCTGAATTTTTTCTGACGGTTTTTAGGTTACATTTTTACGAGTTTTACGCTTCCACTATACGAGTATTTCGCGCCGATGTCGTTTTTGTTGTTTTCGGTTGCGTTAATACTCTGCATGCAATTGGCAAGCGGGGTATATTGAGATTGACTTCATTTTTGTAAGGTATACTCCTATTAGATCTCTCTATGTCATATCTATTCAGGCTTACACTAATTAATCGTATTACATAGATTGTACTAAATGAAAAATGTGTGTATGATTATTTTTTCTAACTTACTCTAAAAATCTCTGATTGATTGAGTGACTGACTAATCAACAGCTTAGCTGATAGATTAACTGTTCACCATTTACATTAGACTGATTACCAGATTGAAAGATTGATTATGTATTGATTGATTATTTATTGATTATTTATTGAGTTAATCTGCAGTTAGACTGAGTGGCAGACTCTCTGATAGACTGATAGATTAGTTGACTAATAAGCTGTCTGATTGATTGACAAACATAATTACTGATTGATTGATGGACCGATTGAAGATCGACTGAACGGCTGATTGATTCTATAAATCCTACAGATACTAAGATTTATGGACAGATTAAGCAACTTACTGATTGACAGAGAGCGGCTGATTGATCAAGCAACCGATTGAATAATTGATTGAGTGACCGCTTGATTGACAGATGTAGTTACTAATTGTTAAGCTAATTGATAGACTGATTAACTGATTGACAATCTAACCAAATTACCTCGAATTAGTGTTGCATTTCCTAACTCACTTCTTCGGGAAGCAGAGCATTTGTTGCACTGGCAGAGCCCATTCGACATGTTATCGCTTGTTATTGTTGTTGTTTGTGGCGAGGACGATGACGATGACGATGCTGAAAGTAACGAAGGAGCCCAAGCCGCAGCCAGAGCCGGAGCCGGAGCCACTGCCCCTGCCCCTGCCACTGCTGCTGCTGCTGCCGCAATCGTTCTTCGGACGAGGCGACGGCGCTGCAATAGCAAAGACGCAACCAAATTCATGCGCTCCTTAGTTAAAGTTTACACTTGTGTATGTGTGTGTGTGTGTGTGTGTGTGTGCGCGCGAGTGTGTGTGGAAGCGCCACAAGTGGGTGGAGAGCATGAGAATGAGGTCAGGCTGGCGGGTTAGTTTCGTGCATGCACAGAAATTGGAAAATAGATTTTTTGGTTCGCTGCCTTTGTCCTTCCTTC